TGTATATATATATATATATATATATATATATATATATATATATATACATGCATTTTTAAAATAAAAAATATATAAATAGTTTTTATGTATATATTTTATTTAATTTGTTAAATTTGTTTTAGTAATTTTGTTGTGTTTGTCATTTTTAGTAGGCTTTGTTATTTTTAATGTTTATGTAGTTTTTATTCATTTTTATTTTGAGTCCGTTTTTATTTTTATATTTTTTGTTTTTATTTTATTAGTTAAATATTTGATTTAATATATTAAGACGTGGACGTGGAATGAGTAGGAATCAGTCCCATTTTAGTATCATTACTAATAGTTTTTATTAATATTTTGAATCAAGTTGAATCAAGTTTTTATATTTATATTTTGTTTTCGTTTCAGTTTGAATGATTTAGTAATTTTGTTGTTTTTTGTCCTTTTTAGTAGGCTACATAGTCTATTAATATTTATTTCAGTTCCCGTTTTATTTTAGTACATCAAGGTAAATTAAATTAAGATGATAAATGTTGCCATGGCAACTAGCTGAAATGTATATTTTTAAATGTTATTTTATTTCAGTTAACATTTATCTTATTTCAAGTAACAAAAATGGTTTTTAATGGTTTTAATTTCAGTTTTAGTTAACTATAATAACCCTGTTCTGCACTGTGGCACGTCCGAGGAATGGCACCAGTGAGCATGATGCAATAGAAAGCTGTGTTTATTGTCTTTATTTCCCGTCTTCAGACTGGAAATGGTCTGGGTGTTTTGGCTCCAGTGTGTTTTGTGCGCATGGATGCAGTGATATGAGGTTGCAGGCTGGCACGGATGAGATCTCGGTGAAGGGTGAACGCAGGAATAAAGACAGAGAGCGAGTGCGAGCGTGAGGGGGATGCAGTGCACAAGGGCGGAGCTTAGCATCAGGCAATACCCCGTCTGATTCTCTCTCTCTCTCTCCATCTCTGATCTCTGTGCGCTGACGCCGGTGAACACATCTGTCCGTCTCTCTGTCCTTCACCAGCGCCTCCGTCTTTCTTCTGGAATATTCTGAGCCACAGGAAGCGCAGGGAATTGTGGGTCTGATCGGTGTGTGTGTGTGTGTGTGTGTGAGGTGGTGAAACACACGCTGGTCTCGGCCGAGGGAAGGATGGTTTTGCCGGATGGTTTTGCGGCGGTTCTCATCCGAGTGCGTATCTCCCGGGCAACCGCGCCATGAGCCGGACCAACCGCGTCTCCTGCTCAATGCTCAACTGCTTCGTAAGTGTGTGTGTGAGCGCTGCAGCTGTGGTGAAGTACTTGACGGCATGTGACTGTACAGATGTGTGTGTGTGTGGATCACACAAGTGCTGTTTCTACGGAGAAAGCGAGAGTGAGATGGTGTTTCGTCATAAAGAGAGCAGCTCCTCATGTAAACGCGGCGCTCAGATGCTCGACTGGGAATATTTGTGACCCTGGAGCACAAAAGCAGTCTTAAGCCGCTGGGGTATATTTGTAGCAATAGCCAAAAAAAACATTGTATGGGTCAAAATTATCGATATTTCTTTTATGCCAAAAATCATTAGGATATTAAGTAAAGATCATGTTCCATGAAGATATTTTGTAAATTTCCTACCGTAAATATATCAAAACTTAATTTTTGATTAGTAATATGCATTGCTAAGAACTTAATTTGGACAACTTTAAAGATGATTTTCTCAATATTCTGATTTTTTTTGCACCCTCAGATTCCAGATTTTCAAATAGTTGTATCTCAGCCAAATATTGTCCGATCCTAACAAACCATACATCAGTGGAAAGCTTATTTATTCAGATGATGTATAAATCTCAATTTCAAAAAATGTACCCTTATGACTGGTTTTGTGGTCCAGGGTCACATTTGAGCAAACGGCAGGATCTTTGATGGACAGAGAGAGAAGTTCAGAAGAGTGTTAGATTAGGAATATTTAGAGGTCTTTAGTTTTTTTTAGTTTTTTTTTTATATATAGATTGTGTTTATTCTGAAAGTTTAAAATGTTTGGTATTATAATAACAGAAAGTTGTTGTTAATATTTAGTATGATTGATTATATTATATTATATATTAATTAATAACAATAATAAGAATTATTATTATTATTATTATTGTTATGTAGAATAATATTATACTAAATAATAAAAACATCAGTAAGCTTAATAAGAAAATAAGAAAATATTTTTGTAATAATATTATATTATAATAGTATAATGTGCTTATTATTATTATTTTAGTAAATAATAGTAATGCTATTAAATAAGTATAGTAAATTATATTATTGTTAATTATAATAGTATAAAATTATACTAAAAATACAATAATAATAATAAAAATAATAATTATTATTGTTATTGTTCTTCTTATTATATAGCATAATATACAAAATGATGTTTAAAAACAACAATAAGCATAAGAAAATAGAAAGAAAAATAAGAAATATAATGAAAATAAATTATTTATAAATTGTGTATTATAATAGTATAACATTATGCTTATTATAATAATTATAATATATTTATTTATTATTAGTTGTACTATAGTAGCATAATGTTGTAGTAAATAATAATAATGCTATTAAGTAAAAAACAAAATCGAAAATATTATATTATTTTTTATAATATATTATTCTTATAATCGTTGTTATATTATAATATACATTTTTGCAAAATAATTACAATAATAATAATAACAATGATTATTATTATTATATAGCATAACACAACAAATTATAAAAGTTAAGCATAGTAATATAAATAGAAAATGTAATGAAAATAAATTATAAAAAATTGTATATTATAACAGTATAATATTATGATTATTATAATTACTATATTATATTTTATTGTTATTATTATGTTGTTATATTATATTAGTATAATATTTTGATTAGTAAAGTATATGTGCAATAAGTATAATAAGAAGGAAAATATTATGTGATTTTTATTTATTATTTAGTATAATAGTCATCATAATGCAACAATGTTATTAATAATAATAATGGGGTATAATATTGTATTCGTTTTTGGTTTGATTCTCCTATTTTATTATAAAAGTTATATTTTATAAACTATTACAAAATAACTATAAAAGTAACATGATGTTTAGTATGTAAAGCATTTGGTCAATTTTCCAGCAAAAATAATTATTAGGACATTTTTTTATGAACTAAAAAAATAACAAATAGCTATAAAAATGTTTTATGTATTTAGTATATCAAGCATTTTATTTGTTGAAATATAAAATTATATTATAATATGACTATAAAAATAACATATTGTTAGATCTACTCGTTATCTCATACACCTGCATCAGACTTAAGAGTGTTTATATTTGCTCCTGCTGTGAGAGTTGTGTTCTCGCTGAGAGCAGTGAAAGGCTCTTATCGAATGAAGAATGATTTTTCCCTGCGGTGACGTGCTCTCAGTATCAGATGGAGCAGTAATATGAGCTGTTGTTCATGTAAATGTTTTGCGTGTGTTTTCCCGGCATGCTGCGGTTATATGTGGAGTCCTGAACGAGAGCTCTGTCTGTCGTGAACGTCATATCTAGGAAATCATTCCAGTGTCGCTCACAGGTTGTTTGGATGTAAATATCTCATGCATAACTCTCTACTAGAGCATAGTCATAATTAACAATGTAAACTCATTAATTGTGCATACTATTTAATGAGTTTGATGTGCATATACTTGTGTTCTGTGTGTGTGTTTAGTGAGTTAATGAACAACGGAGACTGTTCTGTGGAAATTATGAAGGAGCATGTGTTTTTTATTTTTAGTTTAATGCAAGGTTTATACACATTTAAATATAAAACTATGAATAAATATATAAAAATTGTAAAATTGTATTTTTATATTTACATGCATATAAGCATTGCACTATCAGGGTTAAAACCATTTAAAAAATCATTATTTGAAGCAAAATAATGTAAAATAAAATATACAAAAGTAAAATGTTATTTCAGCTAGTTGCCAAAAACTTAAAGTACTAAAATAACTAAAACTAATAAATAAAAATTAATGCAATTCTATTAATAAAAATATATACAGATAATATAAAAAATTAAAAGATATAAAATATTATAAAAATTACAAAGCATGCAACAAAAGTACTAAAATTTAACTAAAATTAAAGTGAAAACAGAAAATGGAAAATCAAACATTACTCCAAGAATATTGCTGTTTATATATATATATATATATATATATATATATATATATATGTGTATGTATGTATGTATGTATATATATATATATATATATGTATGTGTATATATATGTATGTGTATATATATATATATATATATATGTATGTATATATATATATATATATATGTGTATGT